AAACTTTAAGTTCTCTGTTAGGGCTGGAGGGGGACACTGCAGCTTAGGGCTTGTGAGCAGGGTCATAGTGGGGAGATGTCATGATGTCACTTCTGGAGAAAACCTGAAAGTAATGACAGTTACTATAGGTATCACAGTGGCTCTAGGTATCACCAGAAATCACCAGATGACAGTGGCTGTAGGTATGACTGAAAACTCTATGGTAAAACCATAGAGTGTCTGGCAGTTCCTAGAACTACTGCCATTGCTTCCAGGTTTTCCCCAGAAGTGATGTCATCACACTTGCAATGCCAGCTTTTAAAAAAGGTTTTTTTCCTTGCTGCTGCTTGGAGTGGTGGTGAACAACAGACGCTCAGGGCAAGGGACCCACTACCCTGACTGCGAGCCTGGCAGGCCTAGTGAAGTTGGGCACTTCGTGGCACAGTTAATGTCCAGTTTAGGATAAAACTGGAGAGTACACTGGCCAGGATAGGAGCCAGGATGGAGTTACCACTGGACTGCCAGTTGATAAACCGCCACCCTCCCCCCAGTTAGAGGAATTTCTAATGGTGCAGATCTGCCATGTAATAAAACCTAGCTGGTTTGTCTTGTGTCTTCATTTGGGCAGTAATGGGCAGTATTTTCATATTGATCATTATGAAGTGTTTTGCATTTTGCTCGGATATAATTCATGCCTACTGATTTTATGACTGTAAAAAAGAATGGTGCATTTCAGTTGTTTCCAGAAACAGGAGTTTTCCTTAATCACTATTTGTTTTTGCTTTGCTTGAGGGGGGGGGAGTTTATATGAATGTAAGCAGCTAATGTAAACAAGTTACTCAGTTTGAGACTTTTTTTTTTGCTCAGGGTTTATTTTGAGTCAAGACTTTCTGAAGTTGTTAATATTTGAAATAAATAATGGTAACTACAAAGGTTGTCCTCATCATGTGCAGAGTGCATTTCTACCCACTGGACAACTGCAGCGGGGGTTAAGGACCACAGCTTCCAGTTAGCAGGATATGTTTTCTAGACACACATGAGATTAAGCACTGTTCTGGTTACCTTAACATTTCTCCTGAACAGTAATATAATTTGTCACACATATTTCCATTACATTTGATGGATAGTTTAGCTTTTTCTTGTGTGTGTGTGTGAAATTTTTGATATGAAATTGCTTGCAGTATGTTGATTTACTATCAACAAAACAAGGTGTTAGTATGTAAAACCTTTTTCAAAATTCAATTTCTCACAATATTTGCAGATATAGATGAGTGCAGTGAAGCGGTAACCGTTGCCTGTGGAGATCATGCAAAATGTGAAAATTTGGATGGAGGGTATAACTGCTCCTGTAAGGAAGGTTATCAACCATCCACAGGAAAATTACAGTTTAAACCAAACGACGGCACTTCCTGCCAAGGTAAATGATATTATAGAGGTTTATGTGTTATTATAGAACTATATCTTCTGAGAGGCCCACCAGTGACTCTTTTTCTTCAGTTAGATTAATCGGCTGGATACGAAAACTGGCAATACATGAACTCCTAGATTTTTAAAGAATATGTGTGTTTACTGAAAAATAGAAGTAACATTGTGTATCATAGTAACAGATTTGATGCTCTTCTTTTCTGCACCAACCAATGTACATTAATGTTAAGTGACCATATATCTTGTGTGACTATAGATGGCTATTGTCAGTAGGCTGCTATTATCAGTACCACTCAATCCTCTGGCAGTAGGACCCAGATTTGTTACACACAGGGGTCATTTCCTGCAGGAGCGCACAGGAGCAGAGCTCCGGCAGTAAAGAGCCCAGGGGGCGGGCACATGCAACAAGCCCTACCCCCTGCTCCCAGCAGCTCCGGGCCACGAGGAGCACAAGGATCTGTGCGTCCGTCCCCACCATAGCTAGCAATCCAAAACAGTCCAGTGGAGCCTGAGCAGTGGGTGTTGCCTTCTGACACACTTCCCGTGATGTCAGGGGGTGTGGCATATGCAAATAAACTATGCTAATGAGTTATGCTAATGAGCTCCTGCACCTCTTTTTCTACGAAATGACCCCTGGTTACACATGAGTAAAGTTTGGGCAAATTCAAGATCTTACATAAATCTGATCAGTTGTGTTACAATACTGGTCCCTTTTAGCATTCTCTTGTCAAATCAAATAATGGTTTACTTTAGGCTGAGTCCTAAAATGGAATCATGGAAGCTTTTCTCTCTCTGAGAACTGAGCTGACTGTAGCTTCAAAGAACGAGATAAGGAGATGGGAGGTTGTCACAAGTGCCAGGCAAACCATTAGGCCTAGTAATTTCAAGGCTCAAGAATCTGGGGGAATACATTCCATCTTGTTAGTGCAAAGGCTTATTTGTTGGGGCAAGATGCTTGCTTAATTGGACCGTGTACATCTGCAGAGTGTATGATTGGTTGGGCCACCTGGTTAGCAACACAAATTATTGGTCAGGTTGTATCATTTGTTATACATTGGATTGATCAGCTAGAATCATGCCAACACAGGTCAATGTGCATAAAGAAAGATTCTTCAGTTTAGTTTTCACCCTGTTTCTGAATTACATCTAACTTTGGGATACTTCTTGGTCGGCCAAGTTGGACTCAGTCTTGCTGGGCAATTTCCAGATCTTGAACCAATGCTTATAAACGGGCATAAGTTAGATATTTAGCATTATTGTTTTATCCTATTAGCAACTATTCTTTTATTGTATTTTCCGGCACTGTCTTATAATAAGTAGCTTTATTTACTTTATTTAGCTTGTGGTGTTCTAAGGCTTGGGGGCTTCAATCTGAATCCAGAAATTTACCCCATATTGGCTACAGCTACCAGAATAACTGTTTTCTGGGCCTCACCTTGTAAGCACCCTACCTTACTGGGCTGACTTCTTGATCTTAGACCTAGGAGAGCTAGAGGCTTAGTTCTTTGGTCTCTTGCTGATGGTATAGTAAGGGGACTGGTGGCAGCATTACCCTGGGATGTGAGGACTCACACTTCAACCCTTTTGTTTTTGTCTTGACCAACCTGTCACCCTTAAGGAGGACTCTAGCTTTAAAGCCTTTTGACAACTTGGTGCAACAGGCACTTGAATTCACTGGCTTGGATTCTACAGGCCCTTTCTGATCAGGCTTGAGCATTTCTGCCACAGAGAAGGAAAGACATTTTTGCAAAGTGTCTTCTGCCCATTTTGCCCCTGTGCTGTTCATGAGGTACCCTGACTCCTAGGCTGATTCTGCAACCATCTGTTTCCTCACAGTTTTTCCACAGCCACGTCAGGAGGTTAATCTCCCTCTTCACTGCATGCCGCTTTCACTTTCTTTGTTCATTGGGTTTTATGGTATCTTCTGCATAGATTTATGTCCGTTCAGGGGTGACTTCACAGTCTGTACAGTGTTGCCCTGGGGTATTTGATTGTGGTTTTGAGTGGCACCTTTTCCTTTCTCTGCTTCCAATTCAAAGGGAACAATAAGAAAATAATTTGACACAGCTTAATTGATTTCTCTCACTTCCCCCGCCCTTATTTCCTCCTCGGTTATTTATAACCCCGCCATGAATTACTTGGCTCAGACGGCAAATGACCACTGAGGCAAGTACTGACACAGGAAAATCTGCATATCAGATTGAATGAAAACAGATATTCCAAGGCAAGGGGAACCAGGTCGAGTGCTGAGAAAATGTGGAGCAAATGCCAGATGCAGAATGAACACTAGAAACAGATTTTGGGAGTGCTCAGGAAAGTCCTGCTTTGCAAGCTGTACTCCGTTTATGGATCTTGTAGAATCCAAACCATATAAGGTTTTTCCTCCAGATTTTTTTAAAGTCTAGATGTCTTTTTCATCCATCAGGTCAATTTAGGTGTGCATATTTATTTGCCATTTGTATTAAAGATAACCTGAACACTATACTAAAGGTGTAACTCCTGTGCTCCACCAAGACCCTCTGTAATAGCCCATAGAAGTTACTTAGTGCTATTGTTGTATTACAGTGTTCTACCCAACTGGTGGCTGCTGGTAGGGATGAAGAAATGTAGAAATAAGTTCTACTAGAGATTACAAAGTGGCACATTTACTGAAATATCTAGAATGGCCCTGGGCAGCACAAAGTCAGAAAATAAAAGTACCTAAAATCTATTAGACTAGAAGAAAATTTCTATAAGATCATAAACAAATGGTACCTAACTCCACACAGACAGAAACATATATGCATCACTGATCAAAATGTTTGCTGGATGTGTGGCTGTAAAAGAGCTGTCTAAAAGCATTTATGGTGGTGTTGTTCCATAGTGAAGGAATTTTGGAAAAGGGTACTAGGAGAGATACAAAGGATGCTTGGTTATATGTTACTAGAAGACCCTAAGTTCTGCTTTCTAGGATTGTTCAAAGATTATGTTTTGCCCAAATATAAAGCAATGGTTTAGGGTATGCCAACTGTTGCAATGATGGCAATAGCTAACAATGGAAAACTGTAAAATCGTTTAATATTAAAACATTGAATAATAAGACTTGGATGACTGAAAGATGGTAACTAGTGAAGTTACTAAATTACTAAAGTTAATGTATTTGCTCAGATTGAGAGGCAGTCATCTTAAGAACCCCTACTTCCTTGCTCTCAGATATCAGACCAAGAGAGGAAATGAGTGAAGTTGTTCCTCAGACTATGTTGGGTATTAGTTATCCTGGTCTTGTGAATGATTTATCACATGACCAGCCATGGCCCATTCTTAACTCAGTTCTCCAGCTGGACATTATCCATCTGTCCATCTATCTAAAATCTACATCCAGGCTTTCCTTCAGAGCAGCACTGAACTATTCATAGCACCATATGGATATCTAGTCCAAATTAATTTAACAAATAAATCCAGGTAAAGGGGGGGTCAGTTATGAGTAGTCATCTGAAAATACCATATTGAAGAATACCGGGCAGTGGGAATGGTTTATGTATATATAAAATGTTTGCCATACTGATGCAGCAATCCTATTGTAGTGCCTTAATTAGACTCCCTTTTAATTTCAGTAGAAATCCCAACATCAGAATGTGTGTTGCACCGTGAATGTATAGCTGAAAATATTAACAGAACCTTAGCTAAAGTAAGTACTACTGGAGAACAGACTGATCTGTACATGTTTTCATTTTTTCCTTGCATTGAAAGACAGCTGCTCATCCTTTTAGAATGTACTGCCAAACAACCTGAAGGTTTTTTGTATGACTGGTCTAAGGACTGTAGAAATAAATTGATTGATTGATTGAACCTGAATGTTGTTTGAAATGTTTTGGTGGAATGTTGGTTTTATATTGGTCTTTTCAGTTTTAGGTTGATGTTTTAATTATTATTTTTATATGGGCTTTTATGCTTGGTAAACCACTTGTTAGAGAAAGCAGCCCAGAAATATATTAAGTAAGGCATATAATTTGCAGTCAAAGATGGAGAAGCTCTATCCAGTCAGTAAAAACAAGACCTGGAGCTCACTGTGGCTCAGATCATGAGCTACTCATTGCAAAATTGCAAGAAAGCAAAGTGGCTTTCTGATGAGGCTTTACAAATAGCAGAGGAAAGAAGGAAAGTGAAAGGCAAAGGCGAAAAGGAAAGATTTACCCAACTGAACGCAGATTTCCAGAGAACAGCAAGGAGAGATAAGGAGGCCTTCCTGAATGAACAGTGCAAAGTAATAGAAGAAAACAATAGAATGGGAAGGACTACAGATCTCTTCAAGAAAATTGGAGAAATCAAGGGAGCGTTCCATGCAAAGGACAAAAACGGTAGGGACCTAACAGAAGCAGAAGAGATTAGGAAAAGATGGCAAGAATACACAGAAGAACTATACAAGAAAGACCTCGATGTCCTTGACACCCACGCCGGTATAATCACTGACCTCGAGCCAGACATCCTGGAATGTGAAGTTAAATGGGCCTTAGAAAGCATTACTAACAACAAAGCTAGTGGAGGTGATGGTATTCCAGCTGAGCTATTCAAAGTCTTAGAAGATGATGCTGTTAAAGTGCTGCACTCCATTTGCCAGCAAATTTGGAAAACGCAACAGTGGCCACAGGATTGGAAAAGGTCAGTATACATTCCAATCCCAAAGAAGGGCAATGCCAAGGAATGTTCAAACTATCGCACAATTGCACTCATATCACACGCTAGCAAGGTCATGCTCAAGATCCTACAAGCTAGGCTTCAACAGTACGTGGATAGAGAACTACCAGAAGTACAAGCTGGGTTTCGAAGAGGTAGAGGAACTAGAGATCAAATTGCCAACATTCGCTGGATTATGGAGAAAGCAAGAGAGTACCAGAAAAATATCTACTTCTGCTTCATTGACTATGCTAAAGCTTTTGACTGTGTGGATCACAACAAACTATGGCAGGTCCTTAAAGAGATGGGAGTACCAGACCACCTCACATGTCTCTTGAGAAACCTGTATAAGGGCCAAGAAGCGACAGTTAGAACCGGATACGGAACAACTGATTGGTTCAGCATAGGAAAAGGAGTACGACAAGGATGTATACTGTCACCTTGCTTATTTAATATATATGCAGAGTACATCATGCGAAATGCTGGCCTGGATGAATCACAAGCGGGAATTAAGATTGCTGGGGAAAAGATCAACAACCTCAGATATGCAGATGATACCACTCTAATGGCTGAAAGTGAAAAGGATCTAAAGAGCCTCTTGCTCAGAGTAAAAGAGGAGAGCGCAAAAGTGGGCTTGAAGCTCAACATCAAAAAAACTAAGATCATGGCATCTGGCCCCATCACTCCTTGGCAAATAGAAGGGGAAGTCGTGGAAGTAGTGACAGACTTCACGTTCCTGGGATCCCAGATCACCGCAGACTGTGACTGCAGCCATGAAATTAAAAGATGCCTGCTCCTTGGGAGGAAAGCGATGGCGAACCTAAACAGCATGATAAAAAGTAGAGACATCACCCTGCCAACAAATGTCCGCATGGTCAAAGCAATGGTATTCCCAGTAGTCATGTATGGCTGCGAGAGTTGGACTATAAGGAAGGCCGAGCGCCGAAGAATAGATTCTTTTGAACTATGGTGCTGGAGAAGACTCTTGAGAGTCCCTTGGACTGCAAAAAGATCAAATCAGTCAATCCTAAAAGAAATCAACCCTGACTGTTCCCTGGAAGGCCAGATAATGAAACTGAAGCTCAAATACTTTGGCCACCAAATGAGAAGGGAGCACTCACTGGAGAAGACCCTGATGCTGGGAAAGATTGAAGGTCAAAGAAGACGGGGACGGCAAAGGATGAGATGGTTAGACAGTGTCATCGATACAACGAACATGAAATTGAGCCAACTTCGGAGGACGGCGGAAGACAGGAGGGCCTGGCGGGAGATGATCCATGGGGTCGCGAAGAGTCGGACTCGACTATGCGACTGAACAACAACAAAAAAATGCATATAAAGCATGGGAAATAACAAATATAACAAATTCAATTAATATATTTGACACAGACATATGATGGGAGGTCACACCCCTAGGAGCCAGGGTTTTCCAGTTTTACCTTCACTGCATCCCTTTGTAATGGTGATTACCTAAAGTCACTCCATGAGTTTTGTGGCTGGTATGCGATTTGAATGCAGATTTTGCCCATCCAAATTCAACTCTTTATCGCTATGCCATCTAGTTTTTAACAGTTTACCAAAAATGTCAAGCTGAGTAATTAAAACAGCAGACATTTGTGAAAGATAAATGTTTACAGATAAATGTCTTCCTTTGACTTAATAGCAGAAATGTAACCATTTAGTATGATTTTAACTTTCTTTCAGTTTAGAAAAATAAAAGAACCCTTTGCTGTGTTACAAGAAATCAATCAAAGCACTTTAGGACAAATTTCATCCATAGACGTGATTTCCTACATAGAAGCATTATCAGTAACTTGTCCTTTGATAAGAACCATGAATAACAAGATTTCAGATGAGGAAACACTGCCTAATCTAACTCTTAACGTGAGTGACTTGACTTTGCAATTCTATTTTTGCCACTTTTTAAAGTATAAATACACAGCCCTCATAAAAATACTTGTTTATTCCTCTAACAGGCATTTGTCAACACTGTGAACAATTTTGTTCAGAAGGATAAAATTGCAGCATGGGAAGTTATCCCAACAGATAACAGAAGAAGGATTCTCACTAAACTGATTCATGCTGTGGAACAAACAACAGCTCTTGTGTCACAGAACTTCAGAAAGATGGCAGAGGTGGAGGTTAATGCTAGCGATTTGGGTATGCAAAAAGGATGAATGGTATTGCAGATTAGTTGTTCTTTCTCCCCCCTCCCATGACAGATTGTTGACATTAAAAGTAATGTTGTATGAATCCCATGCTGTGCTTCTGGTTCAATCTCAGTGTGTTTGTGTGTGTTTCCCTAGAAATATGGGCATAGCTGATGAAAACAGAATACTTGATAACCATCAATACCTCAGATTTGCACATAGGTTTTCCATGTTCAGAATTTTTTTGCTTAGGAAGTAAACCAACGTTCCCTCTAAGCTGTGGAGTCCTGTGAGCAACAATTCTACTTCGTGAGCTACCGGCGAGCGATTTGGCTGCTGCATAAATGAGTTGGCTCTGGAGCCCTTCTTCCCGAGCTGAGACAAAAATGTGTGAGCCGGAGGCTAAAAAACTGTGAGCTGGCTCACACTGACTCAAGCTTAGAGGGAACACTGGAAGTAACCCCCAAATATGGCTTGACCACCACTTTCTATTCTGGTCATTGTATTCTCTCAGACATATAAAATGTGTCCATACTCCACTGTGGTACTATAAAATGCAAAACAAAGATTCACCTCTCATGCATCTTGTGAGTGTGGGACTGTTATCATGGTCTCCCTTCCCTTAGAGCCCTTTGTGGTGAAATGACCCTTCATCCCCAAGAATCTGTGTTAAAAAAAATCACAACTCTGCAAGGTGACTTAAATTAGTACTCTGGGATTGCTCAGAGGCGAAAATAAAACTACCTTTCAAGCAGTCAGAAGGCTGAAGAACTAGTTTTTCCATCTTAATTTTTTGCCGCTTCCAGTCTGCAAAAGCTGGCAGGGTGTCAATTCGTATGTTAATAGATATAGCCCAGAAAACAAAGGACTTGTGCCTTGCCTAAGGAAGTAGGACATGTACTAACAGGAATCTTCTTGGTTCTAGCTGGGGCCTGTTTAACTACACCCTTTGCCCAAGTGCAGCATTGTTCCTCCCAGACCTTCATGTAGTCCAAGCATGGATAACTAATGTTTCTGGTTGCTGGATGCCTGCCAAAGTGGGGGATATGGACAAATGTTAGGAGGAATTTATTCATGCAAGGTCTTTGGGGATAGATTAAGGCAGACATACTGAAACCCCGCTGCCTAGATCCTGATATGCTTGGAAGTGTGCAAAGCCTCTGCATTGTACTCTCCACAGATGCTTTTTGAAAGCTGGATCTTTAATGCATGTGAGATAGCCCTATATCAGTCCAGGAAACTGAGCTCAAGAAATTGGAATACTTTCTCCAGTAGCAGAAATCAACTGCTTCTAATTTGTTTTCAGAATCCGTTCAAAGTCAAAGTCAGTTCAAAGAGTGTCAGTCCTAACACTGAAAAGACCAGGGTTCAACTCACAACTCATTCTTGAAGCTCACAGGGAAGGTGCCTTGGGCTCTTAGACCGAGTTACTTCATGGGGTTGTGGTGACAATAAGATGGAAACGAGGAGAACCATGTGTGCTCCTTGGTAGAAAGAAGAGATAAAAATATAGATTGTCTATCCACATGTTGTACAAAAATAGATTGGCTGTTCACTAGCTTTTTTATTATAGCTACATATAAACTGTCTTAACTTTCCAGTCTCCGTGTGTGTGTGCTAAATGCCTTCAAGTCTCTTCTGACTTAGCAACTATGAATGAATGTCCTCCAAAGTGTCCTTCATTAATAGCCTTGCTTGGGTCTTGCAAACGGAGTGACATGGCTTTCTTGATGGAGTCATTCCCTCTCATATTGGGTCTTCCTCTTTTCCTACTGCCTTCAACTTTTCCTAGCATTCTTGTCTTTTCCAGTGATTTCTGTCTGCTCATAATGTGACCAAAGTATGATAGCCTCCGTTGAGTCATTTTAGCTTCTAGGGAGAGTTCAGTCTAGCAGATATTATTTCTTAGATTCTTAAAAGCATTCAATGAAAAGTGGTGTACTGAAAAGCTCAGATAATGTTTGTATGTCTCTGCAATATGCAACACACAGCCCAGCTATGCCATTCTAGCCCATTAGTCAAGTTTATGTTTGCCTTTAACAAAATATCTGATTGACTTTCTGGTTCCCTTCACAGGGAAGGGGAAGCTTGAAACACTGTATGGTAATGAACAAACTAAAGGACTATGTGTCCTCTAATGTGGTTTTTGTCCTGAGGGGTAATATTTGGCTGTGTTGTGTTGTTTAGATTTTTGACAGCAAACATTATAGCAAAGTGGAATGGGCATTCCATATCTTTGTGCGAGGGAACAATAAAATATTCACTCCACACATAATACAAAAATTATTGTAAAATAAATACCATTCAATGGTATCTTCTCCTGTGCTTTTAAAGACTGCAATTGGTATTCTCTTTCAGAAATGCATTCTTAATAAAGTGGTAGCTCTTTTTAAAGTAGCTTCCATTATTCCTTCCAGATCCTCATTTAATGCAAAGCAAATTAGAGGCTGCATTTTCCAAGGAAAGAATGAAAAGGTACAAGAATGGAAATAAAGGATGTATGCCTACTATGAATAACAAAGTCTAGGTATTTAGAGCAAACATGTACCACATTAATGGGCCTTTTCCCCTTGAAATATCTGGCAGAACTCTGGGCTTTTAAAAATCAGCAATAATTGAGCAGTCCAGTGTAACCTTTATTGCAGAAGAGTAAGTTATGCTAGGCTGGGATGGAGCTGCCTTTTCCAAAGGGGTTTTTTTTTCACCCTTCTTTCTTCTTTTTTCTTTTGCAGCTTTCAAAGTTTTTGCCTTTGATATGCAACGAATGGACCACATTCACCAACATGTGCACATGGGAGGTGATACTATAAAGATCTCTGCAAAGAAAAAGGAAGCATCGACTTCAAATGGTTAGAAAAAAAGAGTGGCTTGAGAAAGAAGGACAGAGAGGCTGAGCCCAATAAGTTTCTCTGGCACCCTTCTTCTTTGCCCCCCCCCCAAGTCAGGGGAGTAAATATATCAGCAGTACTGGAAACAGTGGGAATGCAAGTGGAGACACTGAGAAAAGTCAATCCATCAGCATACAGCTGGGCAGCATTCTCTGATATTGTTTTCACTTTGATAAAGATAAAGAGAGCCAGTTTGGTGTAGTGGTTAAGTGCACGGACTCTAATCTGGGAGAACCGGGTTTGATTCCCCACTCCTCCACTTGCACCTGGATGGATGACCTTGGACAATCCATAATTCTGATAAGAGCTGTTCTTGAAAAAGAGCAGTTTCTGTCAGAGCTCTCTCAGCCCCACCTACCTCACAGGGTGTCTGTTGTGGGGAGGGGAAGGGAAAGGAGGTTTGTAAGCCGTTCTGAGACACCTTTGGGTAGTGAAGGGCGGGGTATAAATCCAATCTCTTCTCTTCTTCTTCTACAAGTCTATTAGTATCACCCCACTTACAATGTGGTATGGCAATAATTAATGCATGGTGAGGAATAACAGTGCTTTCTCTGCAGTAACACGAAAGCTGTAGAACTCTTTTCCCTAAGGATTGCTCTCCAGGCTCTAGCCTGGGTACACACTGAAGAAATAAGTACACAGCTACAGGGTTCCAGGTGGGCCTGACCCTAATCTTGCTATGATCCTGTGTGTGCCATTTCAGAAATAAAACAGAAGTTTTCTTTAATGACTCATGAGACTGTATGCATGGGTTGTAGTGTGTGGAAGAGTACATATTAGATTATTTTGTAACTCTTGATGCTTGGGCCCTATATTGTTTAGATGCCAGACAGTCTTGACTGTACCTGTGGTAGTTTCTATCTACTAGGTTTGCTCCTAATTTAGTATGACATTTTATTTCTTTGTGTGATTACTTGTGTTACCTAAAGTTCAAATATATGGTGCAGAATATAGTCAGGACTTAACTAAAAAAGACAGCATACTTTAGGCCTTTTAATACTTCATAATAGCTACAGCAACAATAACAGGACATTATCCCTGTTGTTATTATTGATTATTGTTTTGCATCAAATGCTCCTGCACTTTTGGCATTCATGGCCACTTAAAAAGCCCATGTAGGTCATAGCTATATGTGTAGAACTAATGAACTCTCACACCTGATGAATAATCTGTCTTCCTCCATAAAATACATCATTGCAATATCTTTTTGAAGGTGAATGGAACACCTTCAAAAGTATATTGGCTTGGATCCTAACAATCTCTTCTGTTTTCTGCAGTGTGTCCTTTGTTGCAGAGGTGGTATTCCATTGCAAAGTATAGTCCTCTGGTACATGGCACTTTCTGATTATTGCAAGACTGAGCAGGAATTGCCTAGCTCTGGAGGATTGTGCATCTCAGTGCAGCACATCCTTCACAATGGAGAGCACACGGAGGAAATGGAAGAGGAGATTAAGTATCTATGTCCTAATATCCATTTGCTTAATTTCTTTACAAGCATCCAATGTTAATTCTGAGGAAAGATACACTGGATTGGATCTCATGGGTTTGTTCCACTAGCAGGGGTACTTTCTTGCAGTACAAGAAGATTCCCCTGACACAGAAGGCTCTTCTGTAAACAAAACAGCTTGACTGCCAAGCATAATGGAAAGGCTCCTTGCACCAGACAAAAATGCCACAGCTAGTGAATGGATCCATGAGAACCAATCCATCGTCTCTAAAACATTTTAAGTTAAATATTCAACTACATTTCTATCTGAGAGCAATCTTAGTATCCATTGTTTTGTGTTTCTTGAATGCCTTCTATGCCATAACATACACACAAGCCACTAAGTACAATCTGTTTGATTGATAGGCGCTGTTGCAGTTGTGTTTCTTCACTACAGCAGTATTGGCTCTCTATTTTCATCATCACAGAACTTCTCATCAAAGGAAAATCCAGAGCCTGAAGAAACAGTAGCCTCATCAGTCATAGCTGTCACAATTAGCTCCACTCCACCTATGCTCTACCCAATAGAGAAAGTAACATTTACTTTAAAACATTTCCAGGTAAGTTTTCTTTTTAAAAATTCTGGTTTGAAACTGTGTAAATTATGTGGTAACATGTAGCAATGGTGTGTTGGTTTGGAGCTTTATTCACAGTTATGTTGTTTCCGAATATGTGTATAATATGGATAGAAAGAAAATCACTACCCTGAGTTCCCCACAGCAAGCACAAGGAAGAGAAGATGCTACTCCCGGAAAGCATTGATGGGAATTGACAACAATAATAACAGCATGCTGGTTCTACAACAGATTTGTCAATAATTTGTTAGCATAATCCAGGTTTCTTCCTCACCTCTCCACATTTACCAGTTAGAAGATGTACATCTGTTGTTACCTGGAGACACAAAAATGGGTAGGTAAAATGTGGCAGGCCATTGGAATATACGGTGATGCTCCATTTCACAAACATATCACATAGTGGTGTAGCCCAGAGGTACTGCCTTACTATAGGGTATCCCCAACAGCAGGGGCACCCCACTCCTGACCTGAACCAGAGATTCACAAAAGTCAGGCCAAAGGAAGGCACTTCTGGCCTGAAACACAGAGCAAGCCACAGCTCTGGGAGGGTCTCCATTTTCAGATTTTCATACAAGGCAGCCCTCTAAGGCAATCTTCAGCCTCCTCTCCTCCAGCAATGAAAATGAAGGCAGGTTCCTCCAGGTGTAGTATCTGCATTTCTAAAGCTATTCAGAGGCCAACTGATAGATAGCCCTTCTATCTCCAGAACTTCACCTAGCCCTTTTGTGTTACCACATATCTGTGTGAGAATCCTTTGTCTCCAAACCTGTCTTTCCTGTTCCATCTCTCAGGATATCAAGATAAACCCATCAGACAGTCAAATGTTTAGCAATCCTTCCTGATGCTAATCAGGGACTCATCACCCACCTTTTGTCTATACTTCGTAACCTTTTCAAACTGCCTTGACTGGACCATTAGTGGTTAGAAAACCCATTCAACTAGCCACCCAGTACCTGCCTTAATCCCATCAAGGCTATTGTTAATTCAGACCAATGTTCCCTCTAAACTGAGTTAGTGTGAGCTAGCTCACAGTTTTTTAGCCTCCAACTCACACATTTTTCTCTTAGCTCAGGAAGGATGGCTCCAGAGCAAACTAATTGCTCACTCACAACTTTAATGCCAGTAGCTCACAAAGTAGAATTTTGCTCACAATACTCCACAGCTTAGAGGGAGCATTGATCCAGACTCTGCCCCTCTGGAGCTTCATTGGTCACATCTAGGTCTGGCTCCTCCTGATGCCGCACCCCCTGGGACTCAGGACTGGCCCAGGTAATATTTTGTCTTCACCTGAGACAAGCCCCTCAAGACCTCCCATTGGTCTGCATTGTTTTCCAGTGTCTATATCTGTCAGAGCATATGGCCTCAGATTTTATATGTCTGCCCCTGATGCCATCTGGCAGTTCACCCATAAACCTTTGGTTTGGGCCATAATCTCATATCCGTGGACCCCTGCACATCTGGACAGGTTGTATCACCCTGTAACTGACCCCTCTATTTGCTATCAATCACCTCTGCTTTCTTAGTTCTGTTTTGCTTGTTCTTTTTTAATGCTTAGTGTGCTTGTAATTAGGGAAATTCTTCAATAAAACCTATTTAACTTATTCTTCAAATCTGGAGTCTTCCTATTGTACTAAACCTTGGTATAGACAGGTATACAGGTCCCTTGTACTTCTCTGGCCTTGCCTACTGCCTAGCTAATTTCCCAAAGCACAAGGCAGGGCATTAGTGGTAACAGTGGGTAAAGCTGGTCAAGAATCATCTTGACAATGATCATTTACCATTAGCCCTGGCTTTAAAACTCCCCAGTGAAAATGTATCTGTGGGTTGTGATCCTTTATTATTAAAGGTAAAGGTTTCCCTTGCTCGAAATCCAGTCAAATACAACTCTAGGAGGTGGTGCTCATCTTGTTTTACAAGTTGAAGAGCCAGCGCTCTCCGAAGACTTCTCCATGGTCATGTGGCTGGCATGACTAAACACCAAGGTGCACGGAATGCTGTTACCTTCCCACCAAAGCGGTACCTATTTATCTACTTGCAATTTCTTGCTTTCGAACTGCTAGGTTGGCAGAAACTGGGGTCAGAGATGGGAGCTCACTCCGCCACAGGCCATAGGGTCTCGAATGCCAAACTACAGACCTTCTGGTCTGCAACTCAGCGTCTTAACCTCTGAGCCATCATGGGCTTCCTTTATTATTAGCTTCTACTAAAAGCCTCATGTATCAAGTGGTCCACAGAATCAGTGAACTCTTTGTCAGAGTTGCTTTATTCTGAGTCCTTCACATGATATAGTGTCTCCATAATAACTGCAGACACAGTTGAGGTAACATTAGTGATGTATAAAGATCTGATTCAATTCTTGCAGAATTATCTGACATTCAAAAATACTATTAGAAGTTATGTTTCCTCCCATAAATATAAACCTTGGTTTGATAGGTAATTTATTGTGGCTAAACATGTTTTGGTTGAAGAGTATAGAAAATACAGGGAACAGAACCAGTCAGGGCTCCCAAAGGAATAATTTGAGCTGAAAAGGTAATATGAACTGTTAAAGTTGCAGACCCAGAAAGATTTGGAAGAAGTTAATTGCAACATCAAAGATGAAAGACTTGGCCTCCTTCTGGAAGACTGTGATGGGGGGATTAAGCCATCTGCGTTAGATTCTTGTATACCTATGAACTCATGGAAAGCATATTTTGGGATATATTTGCAATGGGCCAGGAATCCCCATAGGGTACTGAGGGCATCCTGGATGGGGGTACCTTCATGGCCTCCAGGATCCATTTCACCAATTACCAGCCTGTTCCAGTGCTTGAGATCAGGTTAAGCCCCAAGTGGTAATAACATCACTGCAGATTTAGTAAAAATGAATTTGGATACCAGTTCTTGCTGCATTATTCACTTGGATCGATTTTAAAGACTGTATTCTGAAGGACTGGGGACTGGCCATCATTCCTCTGATTTTTTTTGAAAAAAAATGCTGCAGATCTGAACCAGCCAATTATCACCCAATCAGCTGACTGAGTGTCATCAGTAAATTACATATAAGCCACATACACAAAAAGTTGGATTTAGAGCAGGCAGTTCAATGGTAGACCAGGGCCTTATTCTTCAGGATCTGGTATATAAACATGCTTCACTTTTTGCGGCTTTCATTGATTTTAAGTCAGCATTCAATCTTATTCCATGCACTAGACTATGGAGTAAATTTGAAAATATAGATAGATGGCTGCTAATTCTAATCTAAATCTACTCAAAAACAGTTGGCTACATGTTAACTCTAACTGTGCCTCTGTTCCTACTTACAATGAGTAAAGCAGTAACAGCACTTTTGCTGATGAGCTGAATAGCCACATGCTTTTTCCTCTCTGATGATTATTCTTATTTATTATTTACTAGGAATAAGGCCCGTTGTGGAAATAAATACAACGGGCTCTAGAAAGAGGCTCTTGGAGAGTGCCAAGGCCTTCGGCACTCAGCATCAATGTGCTGTGGTGACCTCAGCAAGGTATAATGACACAGAGTCCAGCATTTTTTCCAGAGGAACTGATCTCTACTACCTGAAGAGCAGTTGAAATTTTGAGTGATCTCCAGCCCTCACCTGGAGATTGGCAACAATTGTTACCCAGGAAGAAATGGCTGGGTTGGGGGTGGAGTCTATGGCATTGTGCCTGTCTGAGGTCTCACCCCCCTCAAACCTCACCCTCTCCAGGTTCCATCCCTCAAATCTCCAGGAATTTCCCATCAGGAGTTGGCAACCCTATCTCCTTTCCAACCAATCATCAACCTACCTTTATTCCCCCCTCTCTCTTCAGATTTCCATTCCCCCCCCACACACACAACTTCAGCCTCTACCGTGCTCTGAAGCCCTGACTGCCACAGAGTCCACCATTTTCTCCAGGGGAACTGATCTCTGCCACCTGGAGAGCAGTTGTAATTCTGAGTGATCTCCAGCCCTCACCTGGAGATTGGCAACAATGGTTTCCCAGGAGGAAAAGTCGTCTTTCTCTGCAATGGGGACCAAAGCAGCTTACATCATTCTCCCCCTTTGACTCACACAACTACCCTGTGAGGTAGGTTAGGCTGAAAGACCCTGCCCTGAAGCACTGACTGCTATGCCTAGGGAAGCCAATCTCCAGGTGGAGCCTGAAGATCACCAGGTATCACAACTGAACTCCAGACAACAGATCTCTCCCCCCCTCTCCGGAGAAAATAACTGCTTTGGAAGGTGGGCTTTATGGCATTCTGTTCAGCTGAGGCCTCTCCCTGGCTTTCATAGACTCTACCAGAAAATCTCCAGGAATCTCTCTACCTGAAGCTGGCAACCCTAGTCAGGACTGGCCCCCATGAGTTCCTCACAAAGGCATGCAAAGGGTTTTATTCCCTTGTCTGAACCAAGCTTAGTTGCATATCATGGTGAAATGGGCTCCAATTTACAACTCAGCTGTTTGCCTCCAACCCTCGTCCCATGGGCGTATCTCACTCCTTAAGTTCGCTGCCCCCACTCACGGAATCATCACTGCCTTTTTAGAGGGACAGTGAGACCCCTCTGGCCGAATCTCCCTATTTGGAGATGGAATCCCCAATCTTTGGGGGATCCCTGGAAAGTTGGCAACCCAAGGGTCTGGCCTTTCCTTGCTTCCCTGGGCTACCTGCTCTCTTTGGTATTGTCCAGAGTGGGGAAGACTATGTGGTCAGAGCACAACACAGATTATTAGCCCAAATTAAAAGGATTTATTTAACTATTACACAGTTATGGAGCACATACACACTGCAGGAGTACTCACACACTATGAATCAACAGACCCCAATAGGCCTGAGGAAAGCTATGAATACTTTTACCCAATACTGCCATGAAAATAAATTAGAGGTCAATTACTCTAAAACAAAAGTAATGGCCTTTGCAAAAAAAAAAAATCATCACTGGTCCTTAAATGCAATCCCAATTGAACAAGTTTCATACTTTAAGTACCTGGGAGTCTTCTTCC